AAATACAATAAAAAAATAACAAAAGAAAAGAAGGAGGTGGAACTAGAGTTGCTGACAACGGTAAGGAGCGGACCTTGTTGTCACCTACCAAAGACAGCAACTTAGCTTCCACCCCTTCCCAAAAGGAAGAAGGGAGATAGTCTAACTAGAGAGTAAAGTATCGTAACACAACCACTTAACACAAGACAAATACCAAAACATCCAAGAGAAAGATAGAGAGGAGACTAGAAGTTCCCCCCATGACTTCACCCAAACTGCTCTTAGCCAGTTCCTTCAGACCCAGATTTGTTGCAGCTATATGAAGAGCATTTGCCTTCCTACTACTCCTCATGTATGTCCAGAAAAGAGTGAAACGAGTAGTATTAACTGCTATGGCTTGTTGAGAAAGAGGAACTGCATTGAAAATAAAGTTATTCCTGCTTGACCATATGCACCAACAGCAACAGGGCAGAATGAATTTCCAAAGAAATTTGTTTGGCTACATATCAGAAAACTCTCCTTATCTACAGCAAGAGACAGAGCTTGTTGCGGGCAATTCCCGACATGTTCCTGGGGGAGAAGAATAGAGCATATCCCTCTAGTGAAAGAGCATGAATTGAACAAATGATCATGGGATTCATGTTCCAAATTACATAGAAGGCATACCAATTCACCATTCCATCCTTTCTTAGAAATAATGTCTCTGGTAATTAGACTATTGTTGCAAAGGATTCAAAAGAAAATTTCTACCTTTAGAGGAGCGGGGGAATTCCAAATGAACTTATGGAGATGAAAAGAAATACCTTCTTGGTTGATGTTGGTGTAGAAGGATTTAACAGAGAAGATACCCGAAGAGCATAGGGGTCACCATATTCTGTCATGAACAGATTCATCGGATGGTTCGATTGAATCTAGATGAGAATAAAGGTCATTGATCTCATATCTATCCTCTTGGGATATACCTCTTCTAAGGATAGAGTGTCATCTCCAGTTATTGTTGAGGTTGAAACCTTGAGAAGCAGTGGCTGAAGAGTGAGAAAAGGCGAGCTGATGAGCTCTAGGGAAGAGGCTGCTGAGAGAGTTAGGCCCCATCCATCTATCCTTCCAAAAACTACAAGTTTTACCATTACCCAGATACCATCTAGCATAACAGAAGAATGGTTCTTTAATGGAGTATAAATCTTGGATCAACTAGATGCGGAACTTTTAGGGGGATTTGACACTGGATTGGAAGAGTCAACAGAGTAAAGAGAGAAGAAGACTTGACTGATGAACGATTCTCTATCAATGATCTTCCATATTCATTTGGATAGGAGAGCCTTATTGAAGATATGAAGATTGATGATTCCTAGACCTCCTTCGCTTTTAGCTCTGCAAACCTTACCCCACTTTACAAGACATTTGACTTTAGATTGCTGCTGGTACCCCCCCCTCCCCCCCCTCAAAGAAATTTTCTTCTAATCTTATCAATAGCTCTGATTAACCAAGAAGGGAGTTTGAATATAGACATGAAGTACAGGGGGAGGGAAGAAAGCACTGAATTTAAGAGAGTGAGTCTACCTCCAATGGATAACGACTTGTTCTTCCAAAAAGCTAACTTTTTGAAAAAGAGTCGAGAAGGGGTTGCCAATCACGTTTGGAAAGAAATCCTCTTTTAAGTGGCAGACCTAGATAAATGAATGGGAGCGAACCAACTGCACAGCTTAAGAGCTTAGCCATTTGAACACCTCTGCCTAGAAATTTTCCAAGATAATATAAAAAGAATTTGGAATAGTTAACGTTAAGACCAAAGATGTTACTAAAAAGAAGCATGATGGATTTAAGAGTAATGATGTCCCTGTTAATGGCTCTACAAAAGATAAGAGTATCATCTGCGAATTGAAGAGATCGAATGAAGTTGAGTTCACCTTTCAAATGGAGCTCAGTAAGATCACCAGAAGATACACTAGTAGTGATCATCTTATTTAATACGTCAACAACAAGAAGGAAGAGCAGGGGAGAGAGAGGATCTCCCTGCTTAAGACCTCTATGGCATTTGAAGAATTTTGTGGGGGAATCGTTGACGATAACAGCTGATCTGGCAGAGGAAAGAATGTGAAAAATCCAATGACATCATTTAGCACTGAAGCCTCTGGCTTGGAGCAGGTTGAGAAGAGAGTTCCAATTTACACAGTCGAAAGCTTTGAAGAAATCAATTTTAATTGTGCATACTTATTTTTTACCTTTGGAGCATTGGTTTGTTGGACCCTAGAGGGGTGGTGATTAGGGTCAAGAGGCTCTAATATGCAATAAAAAACAAACACAAGCAAACCACAAAATAGTAAAGCAATTAAAGTAAGAGAGATAGGGTTAGGAGTTCGTTATCCTTGACGCGCGATGTGTTAACGAGGTTCGGCCCTCTGGCCTACGTCCCCGCTCCCCACTCTCGAGGAGAAATCCACTACACAACCGGTTTGAAAGCCGGAACTTCGTCTACACAGCGATCCCACACGATCTCTCTCACTACACAGTTTGATCTCAACAGATCACACTCCCTCACAGTTGATCTACACAAGATCTCACTCACACAGCAGAAGAAAAGATGCAAGACTCTCTCTTTACACAGCCCCTATAGAAAAGAGAAAAAGTACTGAAGTTGGGAAGTGAATCACACTTAAAAACAGAGAGAAAACACAGAAACCAGACTTTGAAAATTTTTCTCAGGAAATAGCAGACTCTCTGGTTTTTGCAAACGTTAGGGCTAAGGAGGAAGAAGAAGACTTGGGTTTTTATAGAAGAGATTAAATCAATTTAAAACAAAACCCAATCTTCCCAAATAGGATAATAATCTCCTTTACAGACCCTTATCTCAGACTGTGCCAAACACAGTTAAGTGTAAGCGCAGTTTACTAGGCAAATGACCGTTTGAAAAAGTCGCGGCTGACCAAAGAGAAATTCGGTCGCCCGAAGTAAACGTTCGGTCGACCGAAAAACTACGTCGGTCGACCGACCGAAAAATCCGGTCGACCGCTAGCCGCTTTGAAAAATTAGAAAACGAGCAGAGACTTTATCGGTCGACCGGCACGGTCGACCGACCAAAGATTTGAGCTTTCGGTCGACCGCGCCGGTCGACCGATGAACTCTCTGGAAACTTCTGACGAAAGATCATAGGAGCGGTCGACCGGACCGGTCGACCGCTTTCTGACATTCTTCAGAAAACAGGTTTTTAATCAACTTTAAATATTTGCAAAATATTTATTTGACCTCTGAAAATTCTGAAACTTTGTAAAAAGTTTTTAATACTAAAAACAAACTGCTTGGAAAAGGAATTTTGCAGATAGGTCCTCATACTTGTGAAAAATAGTATTTTGTGAAAAACGCTTAAAAACACAAGTATGAAAACGTGTGTGTGATTCTCTGAAAATTCTGAAACTTTGTAAAATGTTTTTAATACTAAAAACAAACTGCTTGGAAAAAGAATTTTGCAGATAGGTACTCAAACTTGTGAAAAATAGTATTTTGTGAAAAACGCTTAAAAGCACAAGTCTAAAAACGTGTGTGTGATTCCCAATAGCTTCAAGTAAACTCAGTAACTCTTTGCCTACATTCTAGCACTAGAGAGAA